TAGATGGCTTCCTCACACCCCTCTCAAATCACCTATTTTCTTTTTCCAGAATGTTCACATTCTGGTCCTCAAAAGAATGTCCTTGAAACGAAACGTCTTTCGAAACGTCTTCAAATCTTGGAAACCAAGTCCAGTGGATATTTTTTTAACTTTTAGGGAATGACGATGACTTGGATGACTGAGAATCTTCATCAGCATCTGTGTGTGTATATCTGAAGAACTGCATTCTACTTGGATGTAAAATAATTGCCATCATGGCTTTGTCAAGCTGCTGCCTACCTTTGTGAAGCAGGAAAAAAGGCTAAAACAAAGTGAATCCAGTAGAACTTTTTATTCCCTACTTGGAATGGGTGACAACACTTGAATAAATCCTTGGCTCTCAAAATGGTACCGGTGCCCTATTTGTTGGTACTCACCGATACCGATCTGGCTCCGATCTGCTCTGCAATTTTTTTAGGTGTATTTATCTAAATATTACCAGGGGGGGTTATATAATTGGGATAATATGAATACTTTTGAACATATGCAAATCAAAGAGAATCTGTTGGAAATGAAAACCTGCATTTGAGACTTCTCTTATCAAATAATAGAGGTTTAGTGTTTAATCTTCCAATTTGGACAAACAATGAATCATTAAAGGTCTAGTTATTACTAATACCGCCAGAAAATAAAGTTTTTGCAAATATGAAATAATTTTTCTGGGCAATTTTTACAGAAATAGCCTTTTTTTTATGTTTGTCTCTGCAAAGTTGAAGCAAAATTTGCATCTTTTAAAGGTGAAACTTTATCTCTGTTTTTAGTAGATGCTGGGTGCTTGTACTGAATGTTCTCTCCTCTGATGTAGGAGCAGCAGGCAGGAACAGACAACGTTCAGAACTCTCAGCACCCACCTTCCGCCGCCCACACCAACGAGCCCTCGGCGCTCAGTAACGGGGAGGATGAGCTGGATAGGGATTCGACATCAAAGGTGACACTCTGGTGGAAATGCAGAGAATGATCTGGTTCTAAGACAAACTAAACGGATCATTTAAAGCTACATGTTGATGTGATTCATGTCATTTATGTGGTTAAATCTGTTTTAGTTTAGCAAAAGATTTTGATCCCAACACCGAGGTGCATTTTAGGATCAGACAGTAATGGAGGAACATGATACACCAGGACATAAGGATAGGATGGGTATTGCTTAAAGTGCAGTCATTAAAGTATTGAGACAGTGCTATCAATCCTGCTGAGCCTGGTGAGGTCAAAGTAAGTCCCAGGCTTCACTCACGGTGATGTCATTCTTTCCGTTCTTATAAATGTACATAGTTACATTATATGCCTACACAAAAAAAGTTCAAAATCCAGTTAATCACGCGAAAAAAAGGCTATATGCTCCAACCATCCATCCTGAGGCTGTTTATTTTTTTAGCTTCATAGGGCTCCAACTAACTAGTGTTAATTTTAACAGCCATTTTTAAATTTAGTTTCAGTTTTAGTCCAGTTTCAGCATCGCTTGTTAGTTTTGATCACATTTAGTCGACATCATCCCATTTTTATTTAGTCTATTTTTAGTCAACTATAAGTCAAGCGTTTTAGTCTTTATTTTAGTCCAAGAAAACATAATTTTATTTGTTTAATTTTAGTCAACAAAAACATTTTAGTCTAGTTTTAGTCAGGACATAATTTGAACCTTTTACTTTTTTGTCAGCAGATAATATTTAACATTTCCTAAAATTATTTCACTTTTCAACATTTTCTCTCATCTTTTTGATAAAAAAAAACATAATTTTAAGGAACACATGCAGACATGGAAGATGTTCTGACATTATTTGCATATTTATTTTGAACATTCACTAACAATTATTTTGTTAATCAATAAATTATCAGATTTTTTTTAACAGAATTAAACCAGGTAAAACTAAACACTTGAGGAGTTCTGGATAGAGAATATTGACAGACGAAAAGGTCTTTTTTTTTATCTTAAATGCAAAATATTTATGTAAATAAATTTAAAATATAGATTTTCTTTTTTTTTTTTTTTA